ATTAATTCCCACTCAATTAAAGCTCAACTTTGGGCACTCCTGAGTCATCAAACCACATCAATAATTCAACTAATGGTCAAATGATTTAATTAGTCCTGAAGGACTCCCTCATGACAGCACTGCTAAAGCCAGCTGTTAACCTTGCTCTTACCTTTTTCCTGACCCCAACTCTCTCTTCTACCCTCACCTGCCTAGGAAATGCAGCATCTCGACTGAATTTTTGATGCAAACCTGCCCCTTTGAGAACATTTTCTGTGCACTAAGTAGTGTGACATAGGGATAGAGCAACAGATTTATCCTACTAACAAGCCTGTCCTTGAGAACATGATTGGATTTCTCAGTGACTTGGGGACAGTATCTACACTGCAGGAGAGTGGGGAGGATGTAGTTGTATGATGTGGGCAAAGTGCACAGCCCAACCTCAACTATTCTTTACCAGTATTTTACACTGGTCCCTATACATCCCTCTGCTGTGATTGCTGTCTAGACGTGGTTCTCAACCTTCCTGCTGTGATGTATTTTCATTGTTACAAAGGGGTCACAACCCACAGGTTAAGAACCGCTGGTCTAGAAAGTGAGGACAAGGCAGTGAGTCAGGCAGGCACCCTGCCCTCTTGGAGCTCACTATCCATCTGGGAGGAGGGAGGCAGGAAGACATGGTGGAGCTCACAGTCCATGGAGTGGGGGTGTGGGTAAGGCAGAAAGTCATGATGGAGCTCACAGTCCATGGAGTGGAGGTGTGGGTAAGGCAGAAAGTCATGATGGAGCTCACAGTCCATGGAGTGGAGGTGTGGGTAAGGCAGAAAGTCATGATGGAGCTCACAGTCCATGGAGTGGGGGTGTGGGTAAGGCAGAAAGTCATGATGGAGCTCACAATCCACTCACAGGCGTTGGAGGGGAGGCAGGAGGTCATGATGGAGCTCACAGTCCACCCAGGGAGGTTGGAGGGGAGACTCATGATGGAGCTCACAGTCCATGGGGGGCAGAGGGGGTAGAGAGGAAGTCATGATGGAGCTCAGTCCACTCATGGGAAGGGAGGCAGTAAGCTATGATTACAGTAAACCTACCCCTGTGAAAAAGAACATATGTTAGGCGTATGACAGTGACTGGGGAGAGGGTTACCTGCTTTAAACATGATAGCGGAAGGTGACATTTGAACTGGAACCTCTGAAAGATACAGTGAGCCTTTCTAGTGAAAAGCTGGGGAAAGAGTAAGCAAGGCAGATAAGAGGAAAACAGCAGAGTCTTAAAGACAGAAGAAACATCTGGTGACCCAAGGGCAGGAGAAGGCTGTGTGACCCAAGTGCTGTGAGAGAGTGAACCAGAGAGCTACAGGAACTAGGTAGAGAGGTCAGCAGAAGCCAGGTCATCATGGTCTGAGACCCATGGGAAGGAGGACTTTGGAATTTATTTTAAGAGCAATAGGCAGAATTTCAAGAAGGCAGTGTCCGTCCTGGGCTCATTTGAGTGTTAAATGTGGGAGATGATTTGCTAGTGGCAAAGTGACAGGTGGGAGGCCAGGCGAGAGGCCTGCGAGAGCAGAGAGGAGATGTGCACAGATGCAGTGCATGTGCTGGAGGCAGGGCCAGAAGGACTCAGGATGCCACCCACAGTATAGAGCAGTAGGCTGCTCCCCGCTGTGACAATGCCTCAGAATCTTTCATTTCCAGGCTTTGGCCCAGGACCTTTGCACAGAACACTCTTCTGTTGGTGTTTCCTATAGAATCTTCTCAAATGTCTGCTAATCATTCTGTAGGACATATCACCATCCATCTGTCCCCAGTCACTCTCTCCTGGCCTTATTCATCTTCAGAGCCTGGAACTTTTTAAGCCCTAACACTGTTAGTGGCAGAGCTAAGTAAGACCTTGTGTGTGTGGGAAGAGGCACAGTTTTCCGAAGTTGACTTACAACTGGTTTTTGCTTCATAGCACCCCAAAACAAATTATAAATGACAAAATCTACTTCTAACCCATTATTCCCCCCCAAGTGTTTTGTCTACTCCATATTTATTAACTAATTGTCATAAGTTTAAGAAGAAATTTATTTTTTACCTCTTCAAGCCGTGTTCTTGTGGAGAATTGATTTGTTGTGCCCATCACCATGTGGGCTATGGAAGGTGAGCCAAGTTCAAACCTAGGAACCAAAATTGTCAAAATGTTTTGTGACATATTTATTCACTCAACATATATTTTAAGAGCATCATATATATAACAGCATTTGACTAAAAACTGCCTAGGCATGAAAAAGAAGATTTCTATCCTCCATTGAGTTAAGATCCAGTTGTAAAAAAAAATAATACTAACATCAAAAGAAAAAGTTAAATAGCCAAAGGAAAATGGAGGCAGAAAACACTTCAAGAGTCAGACCAAGGCAGAAGCAAATGAGCAGAAGTGCTGAAGGCAGAGGAGGGCTGCATAGGGAGGTGGCTTCCATGAGTCCTAGGTGTAGGAGGGGTTATCCCAGATGGAGTGGGAAATGTCACTGTCTAGGTTCATTAGTTAGCATTGAATTAAGAGTTTTTTCATTTTCTAAGGATATTTTAAGTACTTCTAATATCTACCTTCAATTTTTAAAAACCTTCAAAAATCCCCTTAAATTGTTATAGTTCTTTTATAAACATCACACCTAAAACACAGTGAGGTGACAGCAGGAACTTACATAGTCATGCCACAATTTTTGGTACTACTTACTTTTGTACAAGTTTGTTCCAATTTTCCCTCAGAAACTGCCAGGCCAATGGATATCCTACTGGGTTTCTGCCAATGAGTATAAGAATACCTGGAAACTCCTGAGTTTTTATTATATCTCCCTTAAAACTTTGGTCTAGTAGCCTGGAAGAAGGAAGAGAAGAAATGTTAGCAATGACTAGGTGATGAAACAGTTATACATGACTGCAACAAAAGAACATCTTAAGGAGAAACACCAGTCTGCCAATAATAAGAGTCCTGATAAACCTACAATAGCTACATAATAATAAAAACTATTAATAGCATTTGCATAGTGTCTATAATACCCATTCTCCTACATTCCCTCATTTGCTCAAAGAAGAGGAGAGGAAGACTACGTGTAGCAAACATTTCAAGAACATTATCAGTTTAAAGATAAAGGTATACAGCTTTAAATGTCTTTCCTAACACCTAGTTCTCCCTAATTATGTGTCATTCTCACTAGATGTGTGCCCACTTGCAGTAATGTTGCCAGCAGAACAGGCAATTCCTGGCAAGAGAACACAAATAGATGCAAGGATGGTCTGATGTAATTTAATCCCTTGGCCCAGGAACACTGATGATGACTCACCACTGAAGCTTGTCCTTCTTCTGGCTCATACAGAGGGCAAATTCAATTTGCTCTTTCTCAGCACTGGATAAAGAAGACTGATATTTACTGTAAAGAAAATCCCAGCCTTCTGTGTTCTGGGCCCCCACAGCAAACACTGCCAAGGTCACATCATTTGGTAGGCTGGGGAAAAGAATACACTCAGTGAGAATCTGAGATGTAGTAAGTGCGTTTAGAGGCATAATGGTGACCAGTTATGAACTAATGAACTGGCCTCACAATCAGAGATGCGTATGTGTAAATATCAACAAAAACTACTTCTGGCCAGGTGTGCTGGCTCACGCCTGTAGACCCAGCTACTTAGGAGGCTGAGGCAGGTGGATTGCTTGAACTCAGGAGTTGGAGACCAGCCTGAGCAAGAGTGAGATTATCTCTAAAAATAGCCAGCCTTTGTGGCGGGCACCTTTAGTCCCAGCTACTCACGAAGCTGAGGCAAAAAGATCCCTTGAGCCCAAGAGTTTGAGGTTGCTGTGAGGTATGACACCATGGCACTCTACCCAGGGTGACAGAGTGAGACTGTCTCAAAAAAAGAAAAAAGAGAGAAAGAAAGAAAGAAAAGAACAAAACCTATTTCTTTCCTTCAGTGACATTTTATGAAAGAGGAAGACAAAATATCTAAAATTGGGTTTTAATAAGCCTTCCTCAAAACATAATGTGACATGCCACTTTTATAAGAACCGACATATTTAACCTACCTTCACGATGCTGGGTGACACCATAAGTGGTCACCTTTCAAGTCAAAGGAAAGAAATTCAAATTAGATTGAACATTTATGCCATGTTCACAAGTCAGGAACCCAACAGGTCCACTGTTTATACATTATTTCTTTGAATGGAAGTGTGTAGATTATTGGCATATATGTTTCCTAGATGGGATTTAAGCTCCAAATATAAGAGGAATAAAGTATAGCAAGAATAGGGTTTTCCAGATATGTGAGATCCTGTCTTGCTTAGTGCCAGCATTCACCTTGAACCCGTCAAGGCCTTTGGAGGCCTGAAGAAGCTGCCAGAAAATGCATGGCCTCTTCCATGTGGCTATTCAGTGAGAACTTGTATTGGCTGCACAGAACAAAAGTCACTCTGACCTCTAAACGCCACAGATAAATTGGTTTTTCTGGACAGAAATTCCCTCCTGGCATTTCTTAAAATAGAAAGCTGAGAGCTACATAGGTAAGTCTTAGAAAGCAATTTACTTCCCAAAAAAGGGCAGGAGAGACTTGCTTAATCTTTTTGTTTTTCTCAATGTTTTCTGTTTTTTAGCCTCAATGCTAAAAAACCTTTTATATTAACAAATTATTCTGTAGTGACTGACCTCAAATTTCCACCAGATTCCTTCCACCTTCTGAAATAGCCTTCTGCCCTCTGCACACAGGGCTGGTACCCGCGCACGCAGGCCAGCAGCAGAAGCCGACTCCGCAGCATCCGCTCCGTCACGGAGCCTTCGTCAGTCCACGCTTGCCTGTCAATGAGGTCCCTCAGCAGCTTGATGAGGAAGGCCTGTGGGCACCAGACAGGGAGGGAGTGACATGTGTCAGTAGTATGGCCACAGGTCACTTCATCTTCATATAATCCAATACGGTCTCAGGTGATGGGGGCTAATTTTTAAAGCTGAATCCACATAGTATTTGAAAAACCATGCAGCTCTGTTTATATTTAATTAAAGTCAGAAACAAGGAATGATGAATGATTCTGGAATTTGCATTGCAATCTTTTATAAGGTATCCTATCTCCTTAAAATCAGGATGAAGTGCCAGTTTTATAAACTAAGAGACAGTTTATCAGACCAAATTTTCAGAGCAAATTATGCAACAGGACTTAATGACAGTTTGCCAAAAATAACAATTCTGTGCTTCTTCCTCAAGTGCTACTGAGTCCTAGAAAATCTTAACATCAGTAAAATAAAATAAAGGATTTGTGAAATGAAGGGAATAACAAATCCATGAAAATTAGGTGTGAAGTCTTAAGAATGCTGTTCCTATTTTTAGTGCCAAATTAAACAAAAGTCTTTGCTAATCCAAATACTGAATTTTTATTGTTTTCCTTAATATGTGTATGAGGACACACATGCACACACACTGATTAGCACTCTTTTTCACTCACACACAAAGCAAAATTATAGATTCTACTCCTTCCAGGTTCTTACCTTGAATTGAGTTTCTACTTCATTCATGTCTCTTTTCTCCATTAACTTATATATAAGTATTAGCTCATTCAAACCTTGGAAGACGGGCAGAATTTCAGTTTCACGTTTCAAGTACAGGGCTAAGTCCAAGGCTTTTTCAATAGATAGCTTTCCAATGCTGGTCAAGAGATACCATGGTTAGTGGTTTAAAAGAAAATCCAGGATGTCAACTTTTTGCTTCAAAATGCACTTTAACCTTCTGGCAAAACATTCCATCAGATAAACATGTCCCTTACATATAACAACCATTGCATTAATCTCTGTTTTGTCACATACAACACAATGTGTGGCCTGTTTACAACGGAAATCTCTTAACTAATAACAGCAGAGGCTGACCCATGGGCATGACACAACGGAAGCACGCCAGCACTTGTCCCCACAGAACATTGGCCTGTGGGCCGAATGTCCAGGGTAAGACGTGGATCCAGGCAACGATCCTTTAGGAAGCCTGGGTAGATTCCGTCAAAAGTATGAGTGCCTGGAGTAAACACCTCTTTCCCACTGCAAAAAGACTCTGAACATACACAGACACCCTCAGTACAGAGGGCTATTAAAGCCCTGCCAGTAGAATATTTACTTATATATGGGAACATAAGATTGCTAAAATTCGAGCAAAAGCACGCTACAAAGAGAATTTTATGAGTGGGAATCCCTGCCAGTAGACAAACTAATTCATGCCCACATACGAGAAAAACTCTTAATTCAAGTTTGGGGGAGGAAGGGAGAAGGAGAAGGGAGAGGTGCTGGTGTGTCCCCACCTAATGGGCACAATGTAAGGGTGTAAGACACAACTACCATAGGGACCTTACCTAACCAATGCAAGCATTGTAACCTAATAATTTCTACCTTTATATCAATCTGAAAGAAATAAATGAATAGATAAAGAAAGAAATAAAAAGATAACAGATTCCTTCTTTTAGGTTCCTTAGCAGTCACAGACAGGAGGTTACTGTTCAGCATGAGGCTAAAAGCAATTTTAGATCATTGGAACTTGTGGGAAAACACCTTTCAACCTCTTCATAGTGATCAATCATTTCATCTTTAGAAATCAATAATTTGATCTAGAACAGCTACTTTCAGAAATAAGCCTCCGACTCCGTGCAGCTCATGTCACCTGGCCAGCTGGAACGCGTTGTGAATGAGACTTGCCCGATCCTGGCTGCTGATTGCTCTGTGTGTTCCTTTTAAAAGGCCAGTCAGAGAGTCCCAGCCATCACCCTCATAATGCACGATGTAATAGCCGTTCATTCCCACATTGAATTTGATCCATTCCACCTCCTGAGGGAGGATGAGCACATCTAGAGCAAATAAAATAAATCATAGCTCTATTCACCCTCTTATCTCATGAAACCTTTTCTGATCAGAGACTGGACAAGAAAATCAGAAAGAATTTAAATACAGAACAATCTGAAATCATCACTTATTTCTTTTAGAAAACAGAAAATAGCAACTCAATAGACAAAAGCCAACACCAGCTTTAGACACCAACTCTGTGAGACTTACAGATCAGTGACTAGAATGAACCACACACGCGATGCAACTCAGCAGTGTTAACAGAGGGGAATTTTCACTTGTAATCCCTCCTATTTAGCATTCCATAAATCAACTTTTTAAATCTCCATATGTTAAGATATTGGTCACGTTTTTTGTAAAATCAGAAAGTATTTTCAATCTGATCCTTTTTAATTTTAACCAAGATAAACAGCAAAAGGAACTCAGTATTTAAATCCTATGTAATTCTGGCTGGACCCACTGGCTCATGACTATACTCCTAGCACTCTGGGTGGCCGAGGCAAGTGGATCACCTGAGCTCAAGAGTTCAAGACCAGCCCGAGCAGAAGCAAGACCCTGTCTCTACTAAAAAATAAAAAACTAGCTGGGCATTGTAGTGGGTACCCACAGTCCCAGCTACTTGGGAAGCTAAGGCAAAAGGATCACTTAAATCCAAGAATTCGTTGCTGTGAGCTGTGATGCCAGGGCATTCTACCCAGGGTGACAGAGTAAGACCCTGTCTCAAATTTTTAAAAAGTTGAATAAATAAATCCTATGTATTTCCATACCTCTTCTTGAATTAAACTAGTCATTTCTACAATACATTACCTGTCTTTGCTTTCAGCAAAAATCTATGGACCGTGTCTGATTTGCTGGTAATGAACGTCAGTGGAACATGCCATAGGTACCTAAAGGAAAGGAAGATTGGATTGTTCATTTGTTGATTCAATTCTACAAGCAGCTATTCAATCACCTGCCATGTGCCAAGCACAGGCTAGTTTAGGATCAGATGGTACTAAAGCTATGGTGGCCAGGCTCTTGGGATAACTCCAGTCTGTTCTCCAGCTTTGCAGGGTGCGTCAGCACAGGCACCACTCATGCTTTTTGGATCTCTGAGCAGAGCTAGAAATCTGGTTGCAGGTGAGCCGTGAACCCTTTACAGTGATTGGCTGGTGGGAGCTTGTAGGCCTGACTTTATGACACTGACTGCTAGTACAAATCAACCTCATGTGCCCCTAAATGATATGCTGAGAGAGACACAGCATTGCTTCTGTTCAAGTGAGCCTTGAACTCTTTATAGTGAAGGATGCTGAAGGATGTTCTATAAAATAACTGTCCTGTGTTCTCCAGAAATGTTACTATTAAGAAACACGAAGACTAAAGAGCTGTTTCCAAGAAAATGGGGACCAAAATGATGTGTCAACTATTAATAAATACCACATGTGATCTGTTATTATTAAATTCTGAACTAGAATTTATCTTCTGTTTTGCTATAAAGATATTTTTAGGGCAAGTGGAAAAAGTCAAAAGAGGTTCATAAATTAGATCAAAGTATTCTATCAAGTTCATTTCTTAATTTTGATCATTGTTCTGCGGTTGTATAAGCAAATGTTCTTGTTTTTTTAAAACAATACCATGCTGAAGTATTTACGGGTAAAGGGGTGGAGAGTCATGTCTCCAACTTACTCTCCAACAGTTTAGAAAAATGTATGGGATATATGCATCTATATACAAATGGGCATACATAACTACTGTACCACAGTTATACAAATAATGCTCACTGACATTATTTGTCTTTGCACAAATGCAGAGCTTTGGAAATGACTAACATATCCTCCTGACTGCTATAATGCCACCCTACTCTATCATAGAGATGTCATAAATCCACTTGGTAGGTATATACATACATTCACATATATATACATGTGAATGTATGTATATACACAGAGAGAAGGATAATGAAAGTAAAGAGTTAACATATATCTGGATAAAGGCATATGGGAATTTTTTGCACTATTCTTGGGGCTTCTCCATAAGTCTAAGATTATTTCAAATTATTCCCAGCCCACTGCTCTGGCCCCAGCCCCCACTGTTTCCACCCATCACACCTCTGTTAGAGCACCCACTGTTTACTTTTCACTTTCCTCCATCACACAGGACAAGTGGCATAAGATAAAGAAGAACTGTTTTAGTGCCTGTCCAGGGTCACTCAAGTTGCAGCCTCCTGTTTTCAGTGATACCCTTTTGTAGCTTTAAGCTAACAAACAAGTTCCAAGATCTAACTCATAGTTCCCCCAAAATACAACTAAATCTCGTAATTCCAACAAATTGCATAATTCTTTCGCCCTTACCTCTAACCCAAATGCACAAGACAGGAACCAGAAATTACTATCCTATCAAGCTACAAATCATGAGAATATTAAAGTCATTGTATGTCAACTTTACTAAAATTAAGTAAAGTTTAAAGTGTCCTTAATTCTCTTGGGAAGATGGGAGGTACTGTGCCACCATCATACATAGACTCAACTGAAAGGGTTTAGAGATAGAGGGAAGGGAGCTACTTTAAAAGCAAGCCTTCATCCCAAAGGACAGATGGATTTATTGAGGCAGCAAAGAAAGCTTCACTCTGTGAACATTACCCAGTCTCTGGGGCATCGTCAGAGGCTTTCATATAGTGCTGCTGCTCCAGGTACACGTTTCTCCCTCTCACCATGACGGTTATCAGAGGAAAGCCCTTCTGCAGTGTCCAGGTGTCCATCATGGCCTGCACATCCAGGCCTTCCTGTCGCCAGTGCTGGTTTGTACACAAAAGGCAGGCAAATCACATGACCCTGCTCTGAGCAAGAAGGCCACCTGTGCTCCAAAGACCACTCCCAGTTGATAGTTCCTCCGTGGAGCACTTCCTGATCCTTTCCTCTGCTCACCAGCCTCCACTGTTTCCACCCATCGCACCTCCATTAGAGCACCGACTGTTTACTTTTCACTTTCCTCCATAATGCAGGACAGGTGGCTTATCTGGTTCTGCCAGGCACATCCAGAGCTGGCAGAGCACCAGGCGAGAGGAGGCATGTGAATACATGGAGGAAAAGAAAGTGGCCAGGTTCTCAGCACCCACGTAACTCTGGGGCTCTCAGACAGGCCAGGTGGGAAAAGAAATGTTCAGGCAGGAGCCTGTGTTTCCAAAGTGATAACACAGAGAGGCCCATACTCAACAAACAGCTAAGAACTCAAAGCAGATTATGTTCTTTGATACTAAAAAAGCTTCTAGGAAAAGACTTAAGAGGAGGTAAAAAGGATAAAATATGTTACAGCACAAATCTAGAAATGGAGAAGCCAAGATCATAAAAAGACACACGCTGTCTGGAAAGTCTCCAGGCATGTAACATGGAAAAGAGGAGGATGGTAGATAAATTCTGTTGACTGTCTAGACCCACCCTCAGCTGCTTATGAAAATATCCCTCAAGTCCAGATAAACAGAAGTAAACAGATTCAAACTGTTTTGTGACTTAGAAGTATGAATACTTCATAGCTTGGCAGTTAAAAACATGAGTTAGATCTAGGTTCAGATCCCTGCTCTGCCATTTACCAAGCTTTGCCTTTGGATTTCATATCCTCATCTGTAAAAATAGGGATAGTGAGAGAACCTGGCTCACAAAGGAGACAACGCATGCATGCTCACACCTGCCTGAGACTAGTGAGTGCGCAGCGAGGCTCACTGACGGGGAGGTGGGAAATGCCTGACATCCTCCTGACAGCTACAGTGCCTCCCTAACCTACCATAGGGACAAGTCACGAGTCCACTTTACAGAGAGCTAAGAGGAAGAAATTACTATCAGTGAGAAGTATTACCAAAGCAGGTTGTCCAACCCTCCTGTATAGATACATTTTAAGAAAAATGGTAAAAGAATGTCAGTCTGGTGTAGTTTCAATGCAGTCTTAATCTGGAAAGTTTGGACAGAGTGAGCCTTCAGAGACATGGAGCAAAAGAGTAAACTTCAGGGAAGGGCAGAGGCAGGAACTTACTGAGGATGAGGAAGAATGTTGATCTCCAGGGCAAAAGCCATCCACGTTTTGTGGGTCATCAGTAGGGCAAATCTAAGAAATCAAAACTAAACGCATCACTCCCTTGTCTGTAGAAAACACTCATGATTCTCCCCAAAGGGATGAACATGGGGCAGGGAAAACAAAACAATAAGCCCATGAATCCCAAATGTAGAGATACACAAAAATGTACTCACACTCGTCATAGAATTCCACAGGTCCTCGTTTTTGGTGTTTTTATAGCTATACTTCTGGAGATAGCGTATGATACCACTTTTAAATACGTGGGCACTAAGGTAATCCCTTAGCATATTCAGAATACAAGCTCCCTGAGAAGAAAATAGAAATAATTTTTATGTGTAGTTGGGTCGCAATCTATTCTGCCATCATGTTTGATTTTGTGGTAATTCTTTTCAAATGCAGCTACAGTAACACTGCTAATGTCTAACAGTCTAACTGTCTAGGTAAAACAGAGTAGCAGGTTAAACCTGGACCTATCTAGGCAGAAGATTTTCCTAACATAATAGTTTGTGTTCTTAGCACACTGGGACCATTATTTTCTAACAGTAGTCAGGCCTCCCTGTGCAGCAAGGTAGCATCTGTCAGTTCACATGTGAATGGTGCAGGTTAAACATGAGACCTTGAACCACCATCTGGCTCTCCCACTGCCACTCCTGGGCAGGAGTGGGGACAGGTAAGTACCACAGGGTCAAGCACTGGAGACAGAAGCAAAGCAAGCTCATTCTGGAGTACAGATCTCGTTCCCCCTGCGCTCCCATCACCATACACTGTGGGTCACAAGCTTGAATGCCTTCAGAGGCATATGACAGGTATGTAAACAAGGGAAGCAGTCCAAGGGTAAAAAGAATGCTCTTTCACACAAGTTTTCCAATATACTTTTGATGGACACATATAAGGAAGAAATATTATTGTTCTGAGAAAAACACTAGTGAAGCCATGTGGTGAACAGTAGCACATCCTCAGCCTCAGAGAGAAGACAACAGGAGGGGCTGGGAATGGGGGGACAGAAAGCCCGAGCTTTGACCTTACAAAGAAGGAGCACAACTTGGCTCTAGCCTATGCTGTCAAAGCAAATACAGGCCCTGACAGACAAGCTGCATGGGCACAAAGGCATATGGCCTGGCACAGAGCTGATGCTCACTAATATCTACTTGTTGAATGATGAGTCAAAGACAGACTTTCTGCAGCCTTGAATCTTCAACCCAAGAGAGATTTAATGAAGAAGGAAACATAACATTATCTTTAGGATTATAAGCAAAACTCCAAGTTAGGCCTATAAGAGTTAACTGTAGCCAACACACGTCAGGACAGAGGTCTTCAGTCTGGGTTTAACTCACAACCTTACCTGTAAATAACCTCTCCACCCCCATATTTATAAATAGGCTTAGGGTAGCCAGGTGTTGTGGCGGGCACTTGTAGTCCCAGCTACTTGGGAGGCTGAGGCATGAGAATCGCTTAAGCCAAAGAGTTAGAGGTTGCTGTGAGCTGTGACGTCACGGCACTCTACCCAGGGCAACAGCTTGAGATTCTGTCTCAAAAAATAAAATAGGTTTAGTGTCCAAACCGGACCCTTATATCATACACTGTTACCTTTTCATAAGAAACATCATCAAACATCTCCTGGATCTGAGCAGGATTTTCAACAGGTGTGGACACAGGGTGTGAGGAATTTAAGGCATCTACTTCCATCACATTAAAACACTTGCCAAAAAAATAATCTTCCTATTGAGAAAGGAAAAAGGAAACATCACCTATGATTTACATTTAAATAAAAGATACAAAAGGAGAAGGCTTGGTCTCGGGTAATAAATCTATACTAGAAGTTTTTAAGTCAATTTGTGCCATATTTGTAGTATTTGTGAACTAGGATAGAATTACTATTTTCTGAAAAGTATCTACAAATGATAATTTTAGGTAAACTTTATAGATTTTTTTTTTATCTTGAATACTTATAACTTTATCTGTTTATTTATTGAGACAGAGTCTCGCTATGTTGCCCTTTGTGGAGTACCCTGGCATCATAGCTCACAGCAACCTCCAATTCCTGGGCTCAAGTGATTGTCTTGTCTCAGCCTCCTGGGTAGCTGGGACTACAGGCACTCGCCACAATGCCTGGCTAGTTTTTAGAGATGGAGTCTCACTCTTGCTCATGCTGGTCTTGAACTCCTGACCTTCAGCAATCCAACTGTCTAGGCCTTCCACAGTGCTAGGATTACAGGCATGAGCCACCTCACCTGGCCTTAGATAGCCAAATAGCAACAACAAGAAAATAAATGTGGCCAGGCACAGTGGCTCACACTTGTAATCCTAGTACTTGGGAGGCCGAGGTAGGTGGATTGCCTGAGCTCATTGGTTCAAGACCAGCCTGAATCAGAGAGACCTCATCGCTAAAAAAACAAACTAACAAAAATAACAGCAAGTGCCTATAGTCCCAGGTACTTGGGAAGCTGAGGTAAGAGAATCTCCTAAGCCCAAGAGTTTGAGGTTACTATAAGCTATGATGGCACAGCACTCTATTGAGTGCAAGAAAAGTAAAGATTCTGTCTCAAACAATAAAACAAACAAAAAAACTAAAGTGCATAATGATTTCAACATGTCCAGTTATTACCTACTTTATTAAGGCATGTTAACTCAATAGAACAATATGTATTCATAATTATTTTTATTAAAGATTATGTCAAAACATTAGAATATTTGTGATCCATTATAGTGTAATATCGACATAGTTTATAATTGTAATGGTGTATAAAGAAATTATGTGTCTAGGCAGGTGAAACTGGAAAATAAAAAATATTCACAAATGAAAAGAATCACAGTAGGGGAAAGGATTATTTTTACATAAGTTTACTTTTAATTTTGTTAAATGTGAATTTTCTCAAGTTAAACATGTGATTTTAAAACAAACATATATCAGTTCCAAAGCTTTTTTGTGACCCATGAGTCTATGATGTTACATAATTAAATATGCAGCTACTTTAAGCAGAACTCCATTTGATTTGGCAATTAGCATCCTACTGAGATAATAGCATTCTGTACCTAATTATTCTGCAATGAGCAACCTGGCGGTTGGAGAAATGATCTGGACCATTCAGGCTGTCATTATTTCTATTTCTTTGATATTACTTTAACACTTAATTTCATATCAGTTGAGTCTGTAAATAAGCCTTTCTGATGTATCATGAATGTTCACTAGCATCTGTGAAATGATTCACGTCTAAATACCTCCTCTCAAGGAGGTTATCAGTGAAATCTTTCTATAATATAACCTCTATAACTAATGATATATTTTCCAGCAACAATGAACAAAACAACAGATTAACCTAAAATGTAAACAAGAATAAATATTACTACTTACAACTTTCAGCTCAGGATGGGTCACGCTGACAGACACAAACTCCATAAACTTGGCGAATCCCTCATTTAGCCAAAGATCATTCCACCACTCCATAGTGACCAGGTTCCCAAACCACTAAAAGGAAAACATTGATCAGTTTATTCACACAGTTCTATAGAGACTGGATTATCTGTTCTCTCTGATGGCAGCTGTCCATAAAAGACATTCAGAAAAAATTATAGGCCAGCTCGGCGCCTATAGCTGAACGGCTAGGGTACCAGCCATATACATTAGAACTGACAGGTTAGAATCCAGCCTGGGCCTGCCAAACAACAAATAGCTGGGTGTCGTGGTGGGCGCCTGTAGTCCCAGCTACTTGGGAGGCTGAGGCAAGAGACTCACTTAAACTCAAGAGCTGGAGGTTGCTGTGAGCTGTAACACCATGGCATTCTACCCAAGGTGAAAAAGTGAGATGCTGTCTCAAAAAAAAAAAGAAAGAAAGAAGAATTATATGTTAGATACCTAATATCTATCTAGTATATGAACGTGAACATGTATCTACAGAACTAATATTTTCTCAAAGTAAAAATAAAAACCTTTCAAAATGCATTCTAAAACATGAAACCTAATGTGTTAAGGAAATAGTTTTTCTTACAAGAAAGAAGACAAGGTAAAACTTATAACATGTGTGGCCTCACATGTCCCATCAATGTGACATCAATACAGTTTAACTATACTTTCCAAAGGTGTAAATAAGTTTCTACCAACCTGGTGGGCAAGTTCATGGGCCACAGTCATTGTGACGGCAAGCTTACTTGATACAGAAGACTTCTCTGCATCAAACAACAGAGAAGATTCTCTGTATGTTGTCAGTCCCCAGTTTTCCATTGCACCAGACTGAAAGTCAGGAATAGCAGCAAGATCTTGAGAAGAAGGCAACAGAGTAATGTTATCAGTCTCTTGAGTACACATTCCCCAAATGCACCTCAGGGTTAGGAATGGGTATTAGGACAGAGAGCCACGCTACCAGCGTGCAGATGGTGCTCAAGACTGGGAGAACCTTCCAAAATGCAAAAAAAGAGGGCTCGGTGATTCAGGGTCACTTTGCTGGGAACACAGCCAAGTCAGACTGTGTCTCAGCTCTCCTGACTCTGTTTCTAGCTTTCTTATTATTTTTTTTTTCATTTCTAACTTTCTGATGCAGAGTTTGGGGCCCTAATAATAACAATTACTTCAATAATCCACTCGGTTTTAGATGCCCAATACCCACATATACCTAAAACCTCAAACAGACAAGAGTTCTAAGTGCTCATACAAGAAAGAAAATGCAGACTTTCCTACACCATATAAATTTATTCATTCAAAAAGCTTACTGAGTACCCTCTATGTCCCTGCCAAGCATGTGGCAGCAATGAAAAAACACAGCCACTTCTCTGTGCTGTTTGCCCACTAATCAAATCAGAAGGTAAAACAGTCCCCACACTCTGTGCCTCAGGAAGTGTATCAAGATATGTCACTGAAAGTCACTGCACAGATCAGAGGTGAGGAAATGCTCAGAGGGTCAACCAGATGTCTGATGCATGCTGGCGTTAGTCATGACAGGAGGGCTGCTGAGATGAGCATGGGGTGTACCAATTATCATGACCTATAGTACGTCTAGGACCACCTAGTGTCACATCACAATATCTATGTAAAGTCTCTACCTTGTTTGGGTAGGGGATATGGTATCTGGAAATAATCCTCATAAAATTCTAGGAGAGTCACTGCAGCACCCAGCGCATAATTTGCCTGATGTATCTTGTCTGGCACAGCGTATACGGAAACCTAAAGAGAAAGGCACAGGAAAAGTAGCTTTGAGTAGCTTCTATCCACTGCTGCATCAGACTGACATTAATGCCTCCCTACTGTGGGATGTGGTCACCAATATTAAAGAAGACACCTGGGGATCCCATTTCTTGTATTAATGCTGGCATTTCCCTGAACACTTCCACTTCTGAAAACAACTACAAATGTTGATGACACAAACACAAATTTTTCTTTTCTTTTCTTTTATTTATTTATTTATTTATTTTAAATTGAATGGTAACTATGTACATTTATTTATTTATTTATTTTAAATTGAATGGCAACTATGTACATTAATGCACTCCTGGGGTACAGTGTGGGGTTTTCACATGCAATCCGAAATACTTCCATCAAACTGGTCAACACTGCCTTCATGTCATTTTCTCAGTTATTGTTTTAAAACGTTCACATTCTACTCTTAGAAAGATTCACCTGTACCTCTGTAAGATAAACCTCAGAAGTGATCCCTCTAATCCCCCTCCCTTCTTCATCCATTCCCCCCTCCCTTCTCCCTCCCCTCTCCCCATATTCTTAGGCCATTTGGTTATAGCTTTCATATAAAAGGTATAAATTAGTTTCATAATAGGGGTGTGTACATTGGATACTTTTTCCTCCATTCTTGTGATACTTTGCTCAGAAGAACATTCTCCAACTCCATCACAAATTTTTCTTAAATGTGTTCATAAGGTAGCAAAAATAAAATGAAGACTTAGAGGGCAAAAGTGAAGTGACAGCCAGGTTTTACCAAGGGTACTCGTCCAACACAGCTGGACATGAGTTTTGGTTCCTGTGGCCCTCAAGAGCTCAGGGGATATGAGGCAAAGTCCAGGACCTCCCCCCAGTGGGAAGCTTAACAGGACATACAACCCCTGCATAAAGCTGAATCCCAAAGGCCACACTCCTAGTGTAAGGGTAAATTAGAAATAACCACTCCTTTCTCCAAACTGGCTGCTCTATCTTCCTTCCTTCCCACAGCCAGAAATCCCTTGCTAGGATACTCAGTAACATTTACTCCATGCTGCAAAAAGTTATAAACAGAAGCAATCTAGAAACTATTGCAGGATCTAGTTCAACTCACACCTTCCAAAGAAGAGCGAGCCAGGCTAAGGTCATAGAGCCAGGCTGAGGTGGAGGCAGGGCCATTACCCAGCCAGGCCAGGACCCCTCTGTGTCATTGTTATGAGAGCCTCACTGTACCAGTGGGCATCCCGGTTTGCCTGAGCTTGAGGGTATTCCCAGGACATAGGACTTTCAGTTTTAAAACCAGGATACGTTGGTAACTGTATGTGGCAATCACAGGCTCACCTTGATTCCACTCTTGGTCATCTTGCTGACAGACTCAAAATCTGAAATAATGAAGGCCACTAAATAGGTGCTCATCTTCACAGTGACATCAAAATGGTCTTCTATGAGTCCTCCAGAAATAGTCACAGATTTTACCTGAAACCAGAATAACTCAAATTATCAAATAATCCAATTATTTTATACACCAAACATGCATTATAAAAAGACATTTCCTAATTACCAGACAAGATATTGAATGTAAACGTCCTGGCATTTATATAATTACTTTAAAAGTTCTCTTTCTATTATCTAATTGTAATTTAGATATTAAACTCAAACCATTATCAATTTCTTTTTTTATTGACATATAATTTATATACTATAAAATTTATCACTTTAAAGTACACAATTCTGTGGTTTTGTTTATATATATATATATAAAGTCATACAATCATCAACACTCAATTTCTTTTAAATTATCCAGGTGATTGCAAACTGACTCAGATTTAATACATGTGGATTGGTCACATGAACAAGACGAGGCAAAAGTAGGATTGCTGGCTTTGCCAAGCTGTGGTCCACTTGTCCTTAAATATACACGTTTGAGACTTACCTGGAAATGAAATGTCTAGTATATTCTGTGCACTGGGAAAACACATAACCAAGTACTACCAAAAAGAGCTTCTGTTTCTCTATACAATTAAAAGTCATCTATAGAGAGGCCTGATTCTGCAAAGCCTCTTCCAAGCTCAGATTTGCCTCCTTGGAATCAGCTTCTAGGTACAGTCAGGGAGTAGTCTTGTGGGTTGAGTGGGGTTGATGGAGGTACAGTCTAAGGTCTGCTTCCAAGGAAGAAAGGCTAATACCTCAGCAATAAGAATCACTGAGGTGAAATACTGGAGAAAAACAGCCAGAACTAGCCTGGGGAAACCATGTGAGCAGGCCCTTTTCCTGTCATCTCATTCCCATCTCTGTTGCTATCCCCTCATCCTTCTTAACACCCACCAGCCATCAGCCACCAGTCACGATGCCTCTGCTCTCCATTTGGACATTCAAACCAACTGCACTAGGCAACCTAAGTCTAGCCTCAAAAAATCCCAAATCATATTTTCTTTTTAAATGCCTCTGTCCACTCCCAACAAAAATGCCCATTCCTGAAGTTCTGCTAATTATTAGAAAACCAATCTGATCAAACTAATTCAAATTCAAATGATGAACTCCTGCCCACCATCCAAACACTTCCACATTCCAAAGGTTTGTGTTTGGTTTTCCAGCCTTCAAGAAGATCATCTCTTTGAGACCCCACTGTATTCCCCCTCAGTTACATGTCTACAGCCTGAGGTCAGGCCCCTCCTGTTACATTTATGTCCAAGGGGCAAGACTGCATTAGAGATTTTCCTATCTTCACAGGTAGATCCTGGACACATGCAGATTTAGATAGCAGCATCTTCCTGGAGCCTCAGCAGACCCTGGCCTACACTCTGCAAGCCATGAATATCTCCACCAATCCCATTTATTCCTTTATCTCTCTCGTGTCTCCATCCCTTTCCTGTTCCTTTAATCTCTGACAGCTATGATTGTCTAAGTAGATAACTCACCCCTGTCCCAGGGAGCAACACCCTAATACTGGGGGAGAACACTGTATTTTGAAAAGCACATGATGTGTCTGAAGTTTCTATTAGGAAAATAACACAATTGTTTCTATTCTTTTTATATATAAGGGAGGAAGGGAGATAAAAATCTTTGGCTGTAGGGATTTTCAAAGCATGTTTTGTATAGAGGATAATCCTCTATCCTCTATGAAGGGGGTCGTAGTCTTGTTTGAGGAAGGGACCCTTAAGACATTCAAGGTGGGTCTGGAGTTTTAAGGTTGAGAAGTGCTGTGCTCAAGGTCCACTCATGCTAAGTCAGTGCTTCCCTGCCTGGCATAAGGATAGAACCGGTCGTTCTTCAGGACTCTGGGCTAAACCCATTGTATCGTCTTTGGTGAGCTTCTCTACAGAGGATGTGCTTCCAGGAGTCAGGACACACTAGTGGCAGAATCACAGCCCAGCTGATGATTTTCCAAGCTAAACAGAATCAAAGGATGAAGGCACTTAAGGGAACAGTTTTATTCTCTTGGCACGGTCATCTCACAACTTTCAAAAATCAAAGGGAACACCATCCACATCTGCTTTGAAAGTGGAGGATAATGATTTCTTTTAAGGGAAATGAGCTATCTATCATTACTTACGTTATATTCTAAGAAGACTACTTTTCTTCTCTTTTTCTGGCTGCTCAATTTTGTGCATATAGTTATAAATCACATACTTAGTATCTAGTATATGGAAATTATAGAAAATCACTACATACTAGAAATATGGCCTCATTCGACAAAGCATTCTCTTTAAAATCCTTTAAAAGTTTTATGGGAGGGTAGGGCCTGTGGCTCAGTGGGTAGGGCACTGGCCCCATATACTGAGGGTGGTGGGTTTAAACCTGGCCCCGGGCCAAACTGCAACAAAAAATAGCCAGGCATTGTGGCAGGCACTTGTAGTCCTACCTACTTGGGAGGCTGAGGCAAGAGAAACGCCTAAGCACAGGATTTGGAGGTTGCTGTGAGCTGTGATGCCACAGCACTCTACTGAGGGCGATAAAGTGAGACTCTGTCTGTAAAAAAAAAAAAAAAAAATTATGGGAGAAAGTGAAGGTGAAAGTATTTTATGAAGGACACTATCATTTAAACCTGACCTAAATTCTTAGTTTCCCTCCTATCAACACTAATCATCTGTAATCTTACTGAAATCCTGCACTTTTCAGAGGTAATTTTTTAACTGTGACTTAAAACAAAAACATAGGTTATAAATGAAAGAAAAGCAAAGTTAGCAACTGTCTACCAGGCAATAAAACATAAAAAACAGGTGACCCAAACGTTAACTGTCACTGGGGTAATGCAAGCCTCAGAGAACCGACAGGTTTTCTGTGACCCAGGAGCTCAGACTTACCAAGGGCATGTTGGAGATAGCGAGGTGCCGAGGCTCCCTTCTAATCTTGATGGAGAAACGTGCTTTGAGGGCAGGTTCATCGAAGCAGGGGAAGGCCATTCTAGCTGCAGTGGGTTCAAACTGTGTTGATGCAAGTATCCTAAAATAATGGCAAGTGAAATAAAAATTGAGCATGCAGCACCAAGAACTGTAAAATAAGGGCCTGTCTGCTTTTTAACTCCTACAGGTACTGTAATATTAATGGACTTCACTACTAAAAAAGAGTTTTACATGGCAAAGCTATCATAAGCTCAATTAAAAGACAAGTTACAAAAAAGGGAAAAATTCATAGAAAAGTATTTAAAGAAGAATTAACAAATAATGAGCTTTAAAAAATCAGTAAGAAAATACCCAAGGATGAAGTGGAATCTTAGTGGAAGATCATAAATAAGCAATTCAGAAAAGAAGAAGCCACAGATTATTAATAAACATATCACAAGAGGCTCAACTTCCTTAATCAAAGTAATATAAATTAAAGGGAGATACCATTTTTTGGCTTTTTTTGCTCTAAAAAGATCACCACATACAGCAGTGGTTAGGAATGAGAAAATGTCACAAGACATATAAAAAGTTGGCAAATTCTTTGATTTACCATCTTTATGTCTAGGTACTTACTCTAAAATAATTTATAAGGATGTTCATCAAGTGTTGCAGATACTGAAAAGTTGGAAAGAATTTAATTTCTGCCCATAAGAGATTAAATAATTAATGCACAAGCATATATTTTAATAGTCATTAAAGTTATACATAATGACAGTTATTTATATAAAACATCTTTCCAATAGATGGCTGGAAAGTTCCAATATAAGTTGGCTGGGTGCCTATAGCTCAGTTGTTAGAGCGCCAGCCCTCTGCACCAGGGATGGTGGGTTTCAACTCAGACTAGGATTGCTTAACAAAAAAGCAAGCCGATATATGAAGTTTAAAAAATCCACTGTAAAGCATAAAAATAACTCCATTTACATAAAATAATACATATGTGTATCCAGAGGGAAGTCTAGAAAGAGGTTCCCTGAGATAGAAGGAGTGGTTATTTCAGGCAGCTATTATGGGGATAAATTTTTTTTTAAAAAAATTCTTTTTGGTAGCATCTGACTATTTTATCTTGATAAAATAATAGGGAATTAGAAAAATAAGCTACCAACAAAATTTGACTTTAAAATTTAAAAAGAACCAAAGTAAAGCAGGTAGGGATCCCTAAAAAGGTTTTAACTGAGAGAAAAATATTTCCTCTAAGAGGCTGTTATGGATTGAACTCCCTATCCCCAAAAGATATGCTGAAGTTCCTGTGAATATGATTTGATTGAAAATAGGGTCATTTTAGCTATAACCAAGTTAAGATGAGGCCCTAACCTGATATGACTGGTGTCCTTATAAGATGATAGAAGTCTGGACACAGAAACACAGGCAAGTGGCCAGGTGACACAGACAGAGACTGGAGTCTACCAGACAAGGTTCTCCAGGGATCTACAGCTACCCCCACATGTGGAGAGCAGCAAGAACGGATCCCACCTGGAGTCCGAGAGTGCCTGGGCCTGCTCACCATCTGATTTCTTCTTCTGGCCTCCAAGGCCATGAAAGAATACATTTAAGTTGTTGGTAGCCGCCTTGGCTGTAGCACTTTGTTATCACAGCCACAGGAAACCAGCGGGCCAAGAGAATTAAAAATGTTTATTGTGTCTCAGAAATCTAATTAAATAGGCATTTACACTAACAGAACTGGGGGAAAGAAAACTGGCTAAAATAAAATGAAAAGTGAGATTTCAAAAGCAAGGAAAAATACAATCAGCCATTTTTAACAATATAAAAAACATGTGAAAGCAGAGCTGAGGAAAGAATTCAACAACCAGAGGAATTTTAAAAGACAGCCCATCTGAAATAATAAATTTAGTGTGTACAGAACCTAAAGCTTAAAAGAAATTACCTCACTTCCCCTTCCTTGGTTCTGTAGGTACTTTTATAAAATCCATGAAAGTTCTCAGAGAGATTGCCAGCATATTTGATGACAACTGTGTATGGAAGCCCAGCGAGGAGGGGCTCTGGGGCCAGGAGTGCAATCTGCTCATGGGGAGGATGTTCCAGGACCCTCAGTGGCTCTGCAGACAGCTGTTCTCTAGCCCCTCTCCTGAGGGTGGCCTCTGAGACCTGCAGGCGGTGACCATGCAGGATGATGGCAGTGGTGGGCTGGCTAACTGCTATTTCTACTTGCACAGTTCCCCAGAAGGTCAGGGTGGTGAGATTTGCATGAATCATGAGATCATAATGAACAGGGATGACGTGCTCAGGAAGTCGCATTTTACTCCATGGAAATGGTGTCCCATCAGGGCCTTCTGGAGATGCGGCTTCACTGTTCTGACACCACGAAGGAGTTGACACAGTTAAGAGAGTCACCAGGGAGGGCAGGAGACACGACAAGACTGCAGGTGGCCATCTGAAGGATAGAAACACCATCTTCTTGGTCACACTACCTAGTAGCACAAATGTACAAAAGCAAAAATAAAACGGTAAGTAGAAGTTATTAAGCCCTTGTGGAGACAGCATAATTGTACAGTGTCCACCCACATGTCAGAGATAAATAGAAACTTCCCCAAAGTTCTGGCTGGGTCTTTTCCTGAAAGTAAAACTACCTTCTTGACGTTATTAATTCATAGAGGAAAAGTTTATGGTCAGCAATAATCAGTAAGACAGTTGGAAAGCATCCTTTGGTTTCAACGTTTAGAATAACTAACTCTTAGCAGTGCGGGGCAGACCAAACAGCTCTCGTCTGTAATCCCTAGGCTCTGGGAGGCGGAGGGGAGTGATCGCTGCAGCTCATGAGCTGGAGTACAGCCTGAGCAAGAGCGGGATGAGAACCTATCTCCACTAAAAATAGAAAAACTAGTCAGTAATACCTCCTCCCAGCTATTACTCCGGAGGCTGAAGCACCGGGATCGCTGGAGGCCAAGAGTTTGAGGTTGCTGTGAGCTACTGAGGAAGGAGAAAGAAACCTTAGACTCTTAGTGATCCGAGAAAGCAGCAGGCAGCTGCAGGAGAACTCCTCCTCCAAAGAACAGAACCGACTTTATACTGAGCTGAAATAACCTTGAATTAAAACTGACAGACACTTAACACCAACAATCTAAAGAGGAAGGAACCTTTAATTGCCTTGGAGAACTCAGGTGCCTAAAGGCATAAAAATGACGCATAACAGGTTTTTCCCAAACTGCAGCCATAGTGCAACCCTATGACACCATGTCATTCTACCCAGAGTGAGACTATTTCAAAAAAAAAAAAAAAAAAGCAGCACTTCTTTCCTTCTGAACCTAGCGCTCACAAACTCCAGAAACTTCAGCGGTGTGAGGCCGGCTTTACCCTTCCGCTTCCGCTAACTTGCTGGCTCCTCTGGGGAAGTTCATACAGACCCCTGATCCGAATGAAGCCAGCTGGAGCTGGAGCCAAGTGGGGAGAGAGAACATCCTCAGTAGGCACAGGAGTAACAGCGAGGAAAGGAACCCCCGGAGGCTTGGGCCGGCGGATGCCTCAACACCTCACCCCAGCCCACCCCAGCAGTTCACCCAAAGACCCAAAGCCACGTTCGTTTCTCTGCCGCCATCGGCAGGGTGCCCTCCTTTGCCTAACCTGCCATCCACCCGCCCCTCCCACTGGCCCTCCAGCGGAATCGGTGGCCTGTAAGGCAGGAATCTCGTGGGGTGGCTCCCGCAGACCCGAGGAGCTCAGGGAGCAGGAGGCGGGCCATGCGCTCCGGTCGTGTAGGGTGGCACCCGCCGCACTCCCCGCAAGCTCAGGCCCAGCCAGGGACTTCCCCGCCCGTCTCAGCGCCCTGCGCCCCAGGCCCTCGGGCCCCGGCGGCCTCATGGTAGGAGCCGGTGCTGCGTCCGCTCTTCCCGGGGGGCCGCGCGGTACCTGGAGGTCCGGCCCCAGCCGGCTCCTGCTAGCCCCTCCGCCGACCTCCTCGCCGCCGCGCGACCGAAAGTGAAAGTAGGGCGGGCACGTCTCGGCCGAGCTCGGCTGGCGCCGGGGAAGGGGAAGGGGAAGGCCGGAGCGGGAACGAACCCGGGGAGGACGCCGCGCCCTACACCGGGGTTCTAAGTGGGCGCTGCGGGCTGGGAAGCCAGAGGACTGACGGGAGGAGGACCCCATTCTGAACGCGGGTCCTTCCTCTGTGTGTGTGTGTGCCTTTTGAGAGATGTTTTCCATGCGGTAGCCATCAGCTCTGCTGGACTCCGGGTACCCAGCAGGGCTTGGGCCTGGGCGCCCCGGCAGGAGCTCCCAGCCCACCGAGGACGGATGGGCTCGCCGCCCACTGGACTCCGGCCGTGTCGGTCCGCTCACTTCTGCCAATGGGCCGACGCCCTTGGCCCGCCTCAGAGGGACGCAGGACCTCTCTCCCCCAAGGATTGTAGTTGTGGCAGGACGCTGACTGTGGCAGGATGCTGACTTTTTTAGTGTGTCTGTAGTGAACACACTCTGGGGAACTCTGCCCAAGACGGTGGGTTACAGACGGCCCGCAACTGCCCTGCCACTACCGTGCGGAGCTGCGCCCGAGAACTGGCTGCTTCCCATGTTGTATGTTCCCCTGGTTTCTCCGGGCAGGTGACCAATTCTCAGCCCTGCTTAAAGCATTTCCGCCTGGATGAAATGTCTGAAAAGTCCATCTTTAGACTGTTAAGGGTAAACAAGGTAACAAGGCAGGAAAGCACGTTCGATTTAACCAAATCCTAAAAGTGTTCCCTGGGGTAGCAGGGTCCTTGCACGGTGTTCTCAGGCTTTTCTTCCCACTTCCTTATTTGCCTCCTTTCCTTAGAGAATTGATTCCAAGACACTGGAGTAGTATTTCTCAGCTTTTTTTTTTTTTTCAATCTTATACCCACTCTTGACAAGTCTAACATTTAATGTTACATATTATTTCCAGTCAAGAACATTTTGCAATATAAAAATTAACACTATTCCCAGACTCAACCAGGGTGGGATCAAGGGAAGATTTTTCACTCAAGTTCAATAAGACATAGGGATTTGGGAATCCGGTAATTTCTGTATGTTTGGAATTTAGCAGTAGGTATAAACAGATAACTATAACCTCCAAGCCCGCCAGGCATCTCTGGGTGCTCCCAGATTACTGGAGATGAGAATTTCTTGTCCAGGCCAGGAGCTGTGGCTCACGCCTGTAATCTCTGCTGAAATGCTGCGTGACCTCAGGAGACCAGTGGAGACCAGCCTGAGACCCTGTCTCTTCTAAAAATAGGAAAACTAACCCAGCCTTAAGGCAGGCACTGGCAGTTCCCAGCTACTCTGGAGATTGAGGTTGCTGTGAGCCATGATGCCCCAGGATTCTGGCCTAGGGCAACAGAGTGACATTCTGTCTAAAAAAAAAAAAAAGAATTTCTTCTCCATTAAACACATACATGCATATGCTTTTATATTTATAATTTTGGGTGTGATGGTTTTCCTTTAATTTTTAGTAGTTTTTTTTAGTGTTTCTTGAAGGTCAGGATGGCAGAGGCAAATGCACCAGATGAGGCTGGTACAGAAGACCACTCAGGAGGCAAGAACAAGGAGGAGCCTCTCCAGGAAGTGGGACAGAATGGAGCTGAGTGTCCTCAAGGAGGAGCTAATGTCACCACCCCCTCCAGGCTGGTTGGCCACAAGTTCACCTTGGACCACACTTTAGCCTCAGTCACAGTGAACATGATTTCCTCTTCAGGGTCCAAGTGCACTGCAAGCAGTGATAGCCAGAGAATTGACAGTGTTCCCTCTAGAGTCAAAGCCCTGAGGTGGGGGAGGGCTAGGGGATGCAGACCCTGGAGTGAGGACTTTAAGGATTCCTAGTTGTAGAGTCTCTGAGATCAAAGCAGCAAACTATCAAGCTTAGAACTGGTTAGAATGGAATGGTGAGAGCAAAGGTACCTGGTGTTAGATAATTGCCTCAGAAAGCCTGTCCCCCCTAAAGCTCCATCCTACTCTTAAAGTTACAACTCCTCCCCAAGCACAGCACAGGGAGTGATTTACCTCATCACTCTGTTCCAATTACCCGCTGCCTGCCCCTAACGACTCTTTCAGCTGGAGCAATGACTCCTTATTGGTTATCCCACCATCCCATCACCATTCTAAAACTTCCCTATGTAAGGGTGAGACAAGAAAGTAAAAGCAGAACTAAAAGAATCTATCTATCCTAACCACTCTGTGTAGGCCTCAGCCAAGCCGCAGGCATTTCTGCTGTTGTTGGGTCCGAAAAAGCCTCCCAAATTAACCCCAATCAACAAACTCGAGACTCGCTCCGATGTAAAGGGCATAAGGTGAGATTTATTACAGACCCAGGAGGCCCGGGGGGCCCAGGGGCCCCGGGCCTGGACTCTCCTGGCATGCAAGCCAAGGACGAGCCCCTAACTCGGGGTGGAGGAAGTTTTTATAGGGTACAGAAAGCAAGAAGGGAAAAAGGGTATGAGTACACTTTTGATTGGTGGTTGGTGAGATCACTGGTAAAGGAAGCTTTACATTGGTGGCTGATGATTTCACTAGTACAGGTGAGGGGGGATTTCTTAACCGGGGCTTGGTTAAGTGGCTGGAGGGAAATTACCTGTTTGTTTTATTGTAGTAGGGTGACTTAGTTAATAAGGAATTGGGGGCTTATTGCTCTGTTGCCCAGGGTGGTATTATTTGGTTGAGTAACTATGAAAGGAATGAGAAAGGTTGCAGGGTGGGCCCTGCAGGTATGGTTTAAGCAACTAGGAATGGAATGGGGAGGGTTGCAGGGTGGGCCCTACTAGGAATGGGGAAGGTTACAAGGTGGGCCCTGCAGGCCAGGGCCCAGGAACAGAACTTATGTGGAAACAACAAAATGGAACTGATCTGGTCCTCTCACTGTCTGCCTGTTTTTCTCCTGACATACATGGGGCCTATATTGTAACCTAGTAACTTCCTTGGGTTTCTGTTGCCTTTGGGGCAGGTGGTCCAACCGGTCTCAAGGACGAAGATGAATCTGACCTTCCCCCTTGAGCCCAGGACCTTGAGGATGATGTCATGTCTCTCTGTCTTATGACCCTCACGTGCACTCCCACCCTGAAAAGTGGATAAAAGAGAGGCAAGAGTTTGAGTCAGGGGGCTCGGTTTTGGGAAACACGCTGGTGTTCTGAGTACCTCCAGCCAAATAAACCCGCTTCCTCTAATCAACTGGTGCCTGGAGTCTTCTGAGTCGGTTTCCTGCTACAAGGGTACATTTCTCCCCTCTCTCTCCCTCTCCCCCCTCGCTCTTCTCTGTTCTCTCTCTTCTCCACTCTCTCTTCATCTCTCTCCTCTCTTCTCTTCCCTTTTTCTCTCCTCCTTGGTGCTGCTCTGCAGCCTCCCTCCCCCACCAATAAAGACCTTTCGTACAAGACTTAGTGGTCTGTGAGATCTCTGCCAGTTTAAGTGCCACTCTTTCACCTGGGTTTATTGATTCTCTATAATTGTCACACACTGTGCTAAATACTAGTCATTTCCATGTGTGCATGTATAATTTTTTCAGCTGTTGGGTCCGAGAAAGCCTCCCAAATTAACCCCAACTGACAAACTCGAGACTCACTCCGATGTAAAAGGCATAAGATGAGATTTATTACAGACCCGGGAAGCCCGGGGGCCCGGGCCTGGACTCTCCTGGCATGCAAGCCGAGGACAAGCCCCGAACTCAGGGTGAAGGCAGTTTTTATGGGGTACAGAAAGCAAGAGGGGTAGGGT